TATTTCCAAAAAATGGCTTCAGAAATGAACAAGCTTAATTAAGCATTTAATGATACTTGATTTAAATTTGGCAATTTTAAATCGCCAAAATGAATAAAATCATTATTTGAGCAAGAAAAAATTAAACTATCTAAAATAGAAAAATATTTAAAGAGTTTTCCTCTTCTTTTACCTCGCCTTTATCACAACTACTTGAGGTAGGTCACCCTTATCCAAAACTTTCACTTGAAACAATCTCCCACATCATCTACGCACAGATTAGCCGTCTTCTATTGGATTAAGAACATCCCTTTATCTTTTTATATCAGTACCATAATACTATACCTCCATTTTTTTGACATTTTCCCATATAATACAATTTTATTAAAAAGATTCATTTCATGCTAACCTTAAATTTGTCATACTTTCTACTAGCACTTCATCTGGTTCTACTGCTTTATTCTTTTTTATTGATGCCACAGCCTACCATACCTCTTTCTCCCTAATTTAATCTACCAGTCACTTATTCTATGAGATATCTTCTAATGTCTCTTTGGATACTCTTCATTCAGATATTTTTCAAAATACTCTTTCCACCTTTTTTTCACATCATCATCGTTCGTTTGCACCCTATTATCATTACTTTTTTGTCACTTACTTTAGCCAAACTAGACTTTTTTCACCTTCCTTTATTTCTAGCAAGTAAAACAACTCATAATACTTCTTAACTTTTACCTTATTTAATGCACATTGAGATTATTTATAAAAACGCTTGCACTTCATACAATCTTCTCTCATTTAGCTCTTTTGCTATACTTTGAACTGCTTTTTCTTACTCTCTATGATTTTCTGATCGTTCTCATTCCACCAACAGGTTTCCTTGTTTTAAAAACTTTTTTTTCTTTTCTTCTTCCAATTTCATCACCGGATACTCGATTTTTCTCCTGTGTTCTTTTTGTTTTTGTATACTCTCTTCCCACTACATCACAACTCAATTATCATTAGTCTATGTTATGTAGTTATACTCTTGCCTCTTCCACATAAAATGATCAATCTGTTATCTATTACTCCCACTCTTAAAAGTTATATAATGTTAAACCCTATTCCTAAAATAAGTATTAACCACAGTAAGTACGATACGATGGCAACCTCATTCTTGTCATTAAAACTATACCTTCCATGTACTATTTCATATCCTTATCCCTATATTGATTATATTCTGTCACTTTTCCTAACTACTTTTACTACTTTACTTTTTACCTTCTCATCCATTATTATCCCTATATCATTCTTTGTATTGGTCTTAACTAAGTATATAATTTTATAACCCTTACCTATTTCACTTGTTTCTTCTCCATTCCACTTATTTTTATTTTTTAGGTCTTTTTCGTCTGAAACTACTTTATTTCTATCGACTGTTGTCCCCGCGTAAATCCAAGGTGAAACAATCTGTCTAAATTCTGTTCATGACTCATACTTTTTGAAAAAATTTTACACCAGCTGTCATCCTAATGTCGACCTCATTAGTCGCCTCTTACGATTAGCAGAGGGGCCAGTCTATCAAGCAGATATTATTATAAACATTTTTGATAAAAATGTATCGCATTTTCTATCTAAAGTCAAAACAGCATTATCTTCCGTAATACACAAGTCACACTATAAACTTAAATGAAATCGAACATTTTAACCAAACCCAGAAACATCAGCAATAATGTTTTTTTTACTGTAACGTTATTGTGAAATATTTGTCTAAAATTCTAAAATTAAAGATTTTTTTCCAATATTTGGTTACTATATGTTCAACTAGATAATTTTTTTTTACTATATTCGTAACATTTCTGTTAATTTTGGTCATTCAAATTTTGAAATAGTCAAAAAAATTTTTTACTGTTAAAATAATTTTATATTTCTTGTTTATTATAATATAATTTTTTTTTTTTTAATATTTATCTTAGTAATAAAATGTTAAGAAAATATTTTTAATTTTAGAGTAATATCTAGCTAGATAAAATTTATGTACCTCAGATGTATTGATCAGTAATATGGGTTCTGTGAGAGTTGATATTTTTATGAACAGATAAAACGTAAATCAGTGCCTTCTTACCTTGGATTTTTAGTTTCGATGCAAAACTAAAAATTCAATCAAACTTTGTTAAAAATCTATTCAGCGGGGGTATTATAATTAAGAACCCATTGTTAATTTCAGGTGAAACCCAAAATCATATTTTTAGAAATTATTTATACAGCTATTAGTTACCAAAAAATTCGGAATAATATAAAATGGTAAAAGAGTTTTTTTTTTTTAATTAATAAATTAAATTAATAAAGAAAAATTATTTAAATTTGTAGTTTTAACCTATTATCATACCAAATATATATTGGCAATATATACTTTATTAACATTAAATACGAGTGAATTTAATTGACAATATGGAGAANTTTTTTTTTTTTAATTAATAAATTAAATTAATAAAGAAAAATTATTTAAATTTGTAGTTTTAACCTATTATCATACCAAATATATATTGGCAATATATACTTTATTAACATTAAATACGAGTGAATTTAATTGACAATATGGAGAAAGTTGTCTAATTAATTTTTTAGTTGATAAAAGATAAATTTTTTTCAATTCTTGAATGTAATATTGATTGATTTAATTGATGAAAAATAATGGTCATATAAAATATAAGATATACAAATGACAGATATAAAAAAACCACTTAGTAAAATTAAGTGTAGACACAGTGTCTGTGGTCCTTTATTGATTGTTTTGAATATCTATAATATTTTTATTGTTTAAATTTTATGAACTCAATTTTAATAAAAATCAAACGAATTTTGAATTTTTTTTCCTATACTCAAAATAAACTAAGAAAAAGATCAAAAAAATTCATTTTGATGGGCGAAATTCAAACCTTGTACCACAAGCATGAAAAAATTTTATGTTACGCGGTAATCGAACATTTAATTTGTTAGTAAATAAAATTGACAATTTAAACTAATTCAAAATTTCAAAGTTGCTTTTCTTTAAAAAATTAAAAAGTATAAAATAGGTTTAATTTTACATTATTGTTAATGAGATTTTTATGAAAACTTTTGGCCGCATTACTATAATCACCTCTTGTAAGGTAATTTAAAATAAATGCCTAGTTATAGATTCTTTTTAAAGTAATAATGGTATAAAATTTACACATTAATAAATTCTTATTGAATGTTGATGAAGGGGTAGTGTGTTACCCCCTCAACCATTATTTATGACTTACTAACTAAAAAATTAGATAGGTTTAAAGTTCAAATAAATAATTTCGAATGAAAAATTAGGTGGGTAGGTCCCATAAATCCTATTATTTAATTATCCTATGTAGTTTAAACTTATTTCTTAAAAACACTTTCAAATAAATTTTTATTCAAGAATTTACTACGTTCCTTCACAAAAAAGTCGTACTTTGTTTATTAATTTTGCACCACAAAGACAAGTTCGTAAGACAAAGTTTTTTTTAATAAACTATGTTACATTAACTTTAATTTGTGATATGAATAAAAGTGTCAGTATTTCTGGATCATTTTCAAATCTTTGTCGAAAATGTTAATTTTTGGTGCAAAAGTTACTATTTTGAATTCCCCCTGTGTTAGTTAAAAGGTCAGATTTTCAAAAAAATATCCCAAATGATAGGAAAATGCTTAAGATCTATAACAAAAAAGTTTTCAAAATGTTGAAAATTGTAGATTTAAAAATAGTTTAAGTTTTGAGGGATTTCTTCCATATACTGGGTACTATGAATTCTTTTTTTTAATTTTTGAACGTAATTTCATTGATTAAATACGATTTGTGATTTCTTACCGCATTGTTCATTAAATTCGGTCCAGTAAAAACTAAGAATATATGGTAATAGATACAAAAAAATAAACACATTATAATAAAATTAATACCTTCTTAGTTTTGCATCGAAGCTCAAAACTATAGTTTTCTTTGCAAGAATAAAATTTTTTATCTTGAATTAATATAAATATTATATTTGAACTTCAGCCTATTGCTGTCACTATGGAATACATAGCTCGAGAAAGAGGTCCAATGACTACTTTAGGAGGAGTGGAAGGCCTTGGTTTTGTACCAACGATTTATGCAAACGATACCGATTACCCTGATATTCAATTCCACATGGCTCCTGCATGTTTATCATCGGACGATGGAATCAAAGTTCGTAAAATTCTGAATATCAAAGACTCTCTTTATGACAGAGTATATCGACCAATAGCAGATAAAGATGCTTGGACTATAATACCATTATTACTGAGACCAAGATCTCGAGGACAAATACGACTTAGATCTAAAGATCCTACAGTTTATCCATACATTAATGCCAACTATTTTGATGATCCTCTTGACGTAGCAACATTAGTCGAAGGCGTAAAATTAGCCATAAAAGTAAATATTTTATCTGCATGCT